TGCTCATAGTGTCTGAAAAAGAAAGCGTCCTGGGGCAGCACTGTGATTCCAGGTCCCAGAGTAGCACAGTATGATGGCAGAACTCAAAAGAAAAGATAAATGACTACAAATGAGATTGTCGTGGTGTTCCAGTGACCTGTCATGAAAGACGGGTGCCATGTAAAGGATCATGGAGAAGTATTAAAAGATATTTTACTAAAGAATAACATCCTCTTGTTTTTACTTTGCTATCAATGCTGTTGAAATACAACTGTGTGTACCCTGTGGCAGGAGCTCTCATGAGCTCTATTTCACCACATGGTACATATCTGGGCAATAAGTATCAGTATTTCAAATGTGCAACAACATTATTGTAATTCTAATTCAGATAAGTTGTCCTATGGAAATAATTGCCATTGGTGTGAACATGAAGATACCCATAAAATCACTGTTTGTGAACATAAAGACTAGGCATGGTCTGAACAGAGGTTTAAATGAATAAATTGATGGAAAGAAATACTAAGCAGCCATTAAAAATAATAGGGTGCATCTGGGAATATATGCAATATATTGGAAAGTGGCAAAGCAATCTGTAAATTTGTGGAACATCATCTAAAGTTTAAAGGCACCATTAAGAAGAAAAAGAAGGAGGAGGATAAAGAAGAAGAAAAATGAAAGACGATAAAGGAAATTAATTTGGTTTTGTGTTACAAATACAAGTCTTAAAAATAGGTACCTACAATTATAATCACTGATTATCTTGAGATTAAAACACTTCAGGACCTTTACTTTTTGCTCTGTATTTGACTGTACTATATCATGTTTAAAATAATGGTCACGTATTAACTTTATTTTATACACATATCTACATTTCAGATTTATTGTGGAAAATAAATTAGAAACTGAAGAGTGAAGAGAGACAAACATCTCTGAGGGATTACAAGAAAACACATGGCAGGATTACTAAGAAGCCCCTAGAAGGGACACAGTGAGAATGAAGAAGGGTTGAAAAGACATCTAAGAGGTGAAGGAATTATTGCTTAGCTGGAGGTGACAGAGGAGAAAAGGTATGCAGCATGAAGGTGGGTTTTCTGGGTTTCATAACAAGATGAGTTACCAGGGTAAAGGATTTAGTGTGGAGGCAAATTGGTGAATGAGAGACAACTGATTTTTTTCTGGATCTGTTCACTAGAAAACACACCCAGGGATTCTAAGACCTGTTTGAACTTGCAATGCCGGGTTCAGCAAAGTTGATTATATAATTTACCTCTTAGCTGCATAGGAAGAGCCCTTGAAAGAATGGGATGCAAAGAAAATCAAGGTCCAAAGAGGAAATCATATTAATAGAAGTATAATATTAATAGTAATGATGTTACATACTTAGGAGCATTTCCACATGCATCAATTCTCTGAGAAACACAGACTTGATACCATCAGTGAACATATCTATTATTATCATCATTACAATTACATGGCATATGAGGACACTGAGAATTAAGAACTTCAGTGTCTCTTCTAAGATGAAACAGCTAGAAAATGGAGGAAAAAAGACTGGAATCCAAGTCTGTGAACTCCAAATCTATTCTTCTCAAGGTCTGTTAGTGTCCTAGAAGACACCAGACCTCAAAATCATGTATTTGGGAAAAGACAGCCCTTCTGAGGTATAAATGGCTCTTAAAGTGAATGGTAGAGGAAGAGAAATAGAAAGGCTAGAGAAAAAGAAGAATGGCAGAAATAGTGGGATGATACAAAAAAATAGATATTTTTATCGTCTTTAAGTGATTTCACGGCAACCATGAATTTCTCTCATGGTACTTTTTGACATAAATTAGTGAAACCTAATTATCATTCAGAGAACTTCTTTTGCTATATGACTCCTTGATTTGACCTTATATAGCTGGAGAAGGAAATTTCATTTATCCTTCCATAAGACAATGGCTTAGGGTAAAGGGTCTTTTGTAGGATTTCATCACGATTTACTAACTGATTCCTCTGGTTCATATTTAATTCCATGTTATAAACGCCTCACATTGTATTTAGAACCCAGATTCAAGGAGTTCTCCAATGGGCAGTGAAAACTACAGTGACCACTCATTGTTTAAATAACAGCAATAAGACTGCAGGCAGTCAATACACATATGAAAAAATGCCCAACATGACTAAACATCGAAGAAATGCACATTAGAACCACAATGAGATATCATCTCACACAAGTCAGCATGGCCATTATTCAAACGTCAAACGATAATAAATGTTGGCAAGGATATAGAGAATGGGAAGACTGTTGGGAATCTAATTAAACTAAAGAGCTTCTGCACAGAAAAACTATGATTAGAGTGAACCAGCAACCAACAGAATGGGAAAAAATTTTTGCAATCTACCCATATGACAAAGGGCTAATATCCAGAATCTACAAAGAACTTAAACAAATTTACAAGAAAAAAAAACAAACAACTCCATCAAAAAGTGGGCAAAGGATATGAACAGACACTTCTCAAAAGAAGACATTTATGTGGCCAAGAAACATATGAAAAAAAGCTCAGTATCACTGGTCATTAAATGCAAATCAAAACCGCGTTGAGATACCATCTCACACCAGTTAGAATGGCAATCATGACAAACTCAGGAGACAACAGATGCTGGAGAGGATGTGGAGAAATGGGAATGCTTTTACACTGTTGGTGGGAGTGTAAATTAGATCAACCCTTGTGGAAGACAGTGTGATGATTCCTCAAGGATGTAGAACCAGAAATACCATTTGACCCAGCAATCCCATTACTGGGTATATACCCAAGGGATTAGAAGTCACTCCACTATAAAGGCACATGCACAATGTTTACTGCAGCATTTTTGACAGTGTCAAAGACTTGGAAACAACCCAAATGTCCATCAATGATAGAGTGGATAAAGAAAATGTGGCACATATACACCATAGTATACTATGCAGCTATAAAAAAAAGATGAGTTCATGTCTTTGCAGGGACATGAATGAAGCTGGAAACCATTATTCTCAGCAAACTGACACAAGAACAGAAAACCAAACACCACATGTTCTCACTCTTAAGTGGGTGTTAAACAATGAGAACACATGTACACAGGGAGGGGAACATCACACACCAGGGCCAGTCGGGGGGTGGAGGGCTAGGGGAGGGATAGCAGGGGGGTGGGGGCTAGGGGAGGGACAGCATTAGGAGAAATACCTAATGTAGATGATGGGGTGATGAATGCAGCAAACCACCATGTCACATGTATACCTATGTAACAAACCTGCATGTTCTGCACATGTACCCCAGAACTTAAAGTAAAATAATAATAAATAATATAAATAAAAAACAGAAATTTAAATTAGTACAACCTCTATGGAAAATCTAAGGAGGTTTCTCAAGGAACTAAAACTGGAACTACCACTTCACTCAGCAATTCTATTACTAAGTATCTACTCAAAGAAAAAGAAATCATCATATGAAAAAGACACCTGCAGTCACATGTTCATTATACACTATTCACAATAGCAAAGCCACAGACTCAACCTAAGTGTCCACCAACGGTTGACTAAATAAAGAAAATGTGGTATGTTTACACCATGGATGTAACACATACCATACAGTCATAAAAATAACAAAATAATATATTTCTCCTCAAAATGGATGCAACTGAAAGCCATTATACTAAGTAAAATAATTCAGAAATGGAAAGTCAAATACCACATGTTCTCACTTATACACGGGAGCTAAACAGTGGGTACACATGAAGATAAGGATGGTAACAACAGACATTGGGCAGTCCAAAACCGGGGAGAGAGGGAGGAGAGCAAGGCTTTAAAAACTATGCATTGGGTACCATGCTTATATTCAGGTGATGTGTGCACTACAAGCCTCAACCCCACCATGATGTAGTATAGCCATGTGACAAAAGTGGACATACCCACCATAAAAAAAATTAAACTAAAATTAAATTAAAAACAGATAAAGAAAAAGCAGTATCTATAAAGTAACTCAATGAGGAAGCAGAAAGCAGGTATGACACTCCAGGAAGACAGGGCTAGCATTCCAGAGGAAGAGGAGCTCAGGCACAGGGGTTTCTGCAGAAGTGAGGGATACTCTCCCACAAGCCATGTATGCCTGTGTACATGGCAGGGCTTACCTTCTCTGATATGTCATAAACTTTGTGAAGGAGGAGCCCGGATTTAACACATCACTACCACTCATCTCAGGAAACACTGTGCAAGTTTACAGTGAAAATGCAGTAAATTCTTATAGATGGATATAATCATATGAGGGAAAAGAAAAACCAACCTATAAAGAAATAAAAATCTAAGATGGCCAAATAGGTATAGCTCTGGAATGCAGTTACCAGCAAGAACACATGGGCGAGTGATCACATTTCCAAACAAATTTTTATTGACCACAGACCAGGAGATTCCTGGGCGGAAAAGCACCATGAGTCTCCAGCATAGCTGTTTCAGCTGGCGCAGTGGGTCTTCACACAAAAACTCACACAAATCTGGGCACTGTTTCAACTGGTGCCTGGAATGCCTAAGAGACAGAGTCGTCCTTTCAACTGAAAAAAAGGAGGCTGAAACAGGGAGCCAGGTGATCTGCCTTGGCAGGACCCACCCCTACAAAGACCAGCAATCTGAAATGTTTTGGATTAAGAGTTTCACAGCAAGCACAGCTGCACCCAGGATGGTCCAGTTCTGTGGGGGTAATGCCTCTTCCACCATTACCGAGGCAGTCCACCATTACAGAGACAGTTTGCCATTACTGAGGCATACCACCATTAGCGAGGCAGTTCTAACTATTCCTCTATAAACAAAACCACAAGGAAGTTCACAAAGCAGCTGGGCAGAGCCCATGGCAGCTCAGCAACACCTCTGCTGGCAGACTGTGACTAGGCTACCACCTCGCTGGGCAGGGCATCTCTGAAAAAAGGCAGCAGCATGTCAGGAACTAAATAAAGCCCACCTTCCAGGACTGAGCACCTGGGAATAAAAGGTGGTTATGAGTTCTGCTGCGGCAGACTGAACAACGATGCTCACAGCTCAGCACGTGAGCTCCTATAAAGGACAGACTGTATCCTCAAGCAGCTCCCCAACCCTCACATATCCAAATAAACACCTCATAAAGGAGAGCTTAGGCTGACATCTAGCGGGTAACCGTCTGGGACAAAGATAACAGAAGAACAAACTGGCAGCAACTCTTACTGTTCTGCAGCTGCTGCAGGTGATGCCCAGGCAAGCAGGGTCTGTAGTGGACCTTCAGCAGTCCTACAGCAGGGGGGGCCTGGCTGTTAGAAGGAAAACTAAATAACATAAAGAAATAACTTCATCATCAACAAAAAGGACGTCCACTCTGAAACCCCATCCAAAAGTCACCAACTACAAAGACCACAGGTAGATAAATCCACAAAGATGGGTAGAAATCAGCGCAAAAAGTATGAAAACAGCCAAAACGAGAACGCCTCTCATCCTCCAAGGGATCACAACTCCTCACCAGCAAGGGAACACAGCTGGATAGAGAAAAGAGTCTTATGAATTGACACAAACAGCCTTAACAAAGTGGGTAATAACAAACTTTTGTGAGCTAAAAGAACATGTTCTAACCCAATGCAATAAACTAAGAACCTTGAACAAAGGTTTACCAAAATGCTAATGAGATTAAACAGCTTAGAGAAGAATATAAATGATTTGATGGAGCTGAAAAACACAGCATGAGAACTTTGTGAAGCATACGCAAGTTTCAATAGCCGAATTGATCAAGCAGAAGAAAGGATATCAGAGATTGAAGATCAACTCGATGAAATAAAACAATAAGGTAAGATTAAAGACAAAAGAGTAAAAAGAAATGAACAAAGCCTCCAAGAAATATGAGATTATGTAAAAAGACCTAATCTACGTTTGATAGGTATACCTGAATGTGACTGAGAGAATGAATCCAAGCTGGAAAACACTCTTCAGGATGTTATCCAGGGGAACTTCCCCAACCTAGCAAGGCAGGCCAATGTTCCAGTCCAGGAAATGCAGAGAACACCATAAAGATATTCCTCAAGAAGAGCAAGCCCAAGGCACATAATTGTCAGATTCACCAGAGTTGAAATGAAGGAAACAATGCTAAGGGCAGCCAGAGAGAAAGATCAGGTTACCCACAAAGGGAAGCCCATTAGACTCACAGCAGCTCTCTCGGCAGAAACCCTATAAGCCAGAAGAGACTGGGGGCCAATATTCAACATCCTTAAAGAAAATAACTTTCAACCTAGAACTTCATATCCAGCCAAACTAAGCTTTGTAAGTAAAGGAGAAATAAAATCATTTACAAACAAGCAACTACTCAGAGATTTCATCACCACCAGTCCTGCTTTACAAGAGATCCTGAAAGAAGCTATAAACATAGAAAGGAACAACCAGTGCCAGCCACTCCAAAAACATACCAAATGGTAAACAGCATCAATACAATGAAGAAACTGCATCAACTAACGGACAAAACAACCAGCTAGCATCAAAATGGCAGGATCAAATTTACACAGAACAATATTAACCCTAAATGTAAATGTGCTAAATGCCCCAATCAAAAGACACAGACTGGCAAATTGGATAAAAAGTCAAAACCCATCTGTGTGCTGTATTCAGGAAACCCATCTCACATGCAAGGATACACATAGGCTCAAAATAAAGGGATGGAGGAAGATTTACCAAGCAAATGGAGAGCAAAAAAAGCAGGAGTTGCAATCCTAGTCTCTAATAAAATAGACTTTAAACCAACAAAGATCAAAAGAGACAAAGAAGGGCAATACATAATGGTAAAAGGATCAATGCAACAAGAAGAGCTAACAATCCTAAATATATATGCACCCAATACAGGAGCACCCAGATACATAAAGCAAGTTCTTAATGACCTACAAAGAGACTTAGATTCCCACACAATAATAGTGGGAGACTTTAACACTCCACTGTCAGTATTAGACAGATCAAGGAGACAGAAAATTAACAAGGATATCCAGGACTTGAACTCAGATCTGGACCAAGCAAACCTAATAGACATTTACAGAACTCTCCACCCCAAATCCACAGAATATACATTCTTCTCGGCACCACATTACACCTACTACAAAACTGACCACATAATTGGAAGCAAATCACTCCTGAGCAAATGTAAAAGAAAGGAAATCATAACAAACAGGTTCTCAGACCATGGTGCAATCAAATTAGAACTCAGAATTAAGAAAGTAACTCAGAACCACACAACTTCATGGAAACTGAACAACTGGCTCTTGAATGCTGACTGGATAAACAATGAAATAAGGGCAGAAACGAAGATGTTATTCGAAAACAGAATGAAGACACAACACTCCAGAATCTCTGGGACACATTTAAAGCAGTGACTAGAGAAAAATTTATAGCAATAAATGCCCACATGAGAAACAAGGAAACATCTAAAATCAACACCCTATCATCAAAATTGAAAAGCTAGAGGAGCAAGATCAAAAAAGCTCAAAAGCTAGCAGAAGACGAGAAATAACTAAGATCAGAGCAGAACTGAAGAAGACAGGGACACAATAAAACCCTTCAAAATATTAATAAATCCAAGAGCTTGTTTTTCGAAAAGATCAACAAAATAGAGAGACCACTAGCCAGATTAATAAAAAAGAAAAGAGAGAAGAATCAAATACATGCAATAAAGAACAATAAAGGGGACATCACCATCAATTCTACAGAAATACAAACTACAATCAGAGAGTACTACAAACAATGCTATGCACATAAACCAGTAAACCTGGAAGAAATGGATAAATTCCTGGACACTTGCACCCTCCCAAGCCAAAACCAGGAAGAACTCAAAACCCTGAATAGATCAATAACAAGGGCTGAAGTTGAGGTAGCAATTAACAGCCTACCCACCAAAAAAAGCCCAGGTCCAGATGGGTTCACAGCCAAATTCTACCAGACATACAAAGAGGAGCTGGTACCATTCCTTCTGAAACTATTCCAAATAATCCAAAAAGAGGGAATCCTTCCCAAATCATTTTATGAGACCAACGTCATCCTGATACCAAAACCTGGGAGAAACTTAACAAGAAAACTTCAGGCCAATATCCATGATGAACACAGATGCAAAAATCTTCAATGAAATACAGGCAAACTGATTGCAACAACACATCAAAAAGCTTATCCATCACGATCAAGAAGGCTTTATCCTGGGGATGCAAGGCTGGTTCAACATATGCAAGTCTATAAACATAATTCACCACATAAACAGAACCAAACACAAAAACCACGTAATTATCTCAATAGATGCAGAGAAGGCCTTAGACAAAATTCAACAGTCCTTTATGCTTAAAAACTCAATAAACTAGGTATCCATGGAACATACCTCAAAATAATAAAAGCTATTTACAGCAAACCCACAGCCAATATCATACTGAATGGGCAAAAAAGGGAAGCATTCTCTTTGAAATCTGGTACTAGATGAGGATGCCCTCTCTCACCATTCCTATGCAATACAGTATTGGTAGTTCTAGCCAGAGCAATAAGGCAAGAGAAGGAAATAAAGCATATTCAATTAGGAAAGGGGGAAGTCAATTTGTCTCTATTTGCAGAAGACATGATTATATATTTAGAAGACCCCATTGTCTCAGCCCAAAATCTCCTTAAACTGATAAGTTCATCAAAGTCTCAGGATACAAAATCTATGTGCAGAAATCACAAGCATTCCTATACACCAGTAACAGACTTAGAGAGAACCAAATCAAGAATGAACTACCATTTACAATTGCTACAAAGAGAATAAAATACCTAGGAATACAACTAAAAAAGGATGTAAAGGACCTCTTCAAGGAGAACTACAAACCACTGCTCAAGGCAATTAGAGAGGACACAAACAGATGGAGAAACATTCCATGCTCATGGTTAGGAAGACTCAGTAACGTGAAAATGGCTATACTGCTCAAAGTAATTTATAGATTCAGCCCTATCCCCATCAAGCTACCTATGACCCTCTTCAGAGAACTGGAAAAAACCACCTTAAACTTCATATGGAACCAGAAGAGAGCCCGCTTAGCCAAGTCAGTTCTAAGCAAAAAGCACAAAGCTGGACGCATCACACTACCTGACTTCAAACTATACGACAAGGCTACAGTAATCAAGACAGCATGGTACTATTACCACAACACAGATATAGACCAATGGAACAGAACAGAGGCCTCAGAGCCAACACCACACATCTACAACCATCTGATCTTTGACAAACCTGACAAAAACAAGCAATGGGGAAAGGATTCCCTGTTTCATCAATTGTGTTGGGAAAACTGGCTAGCCATGTGCAGAAAGCAGAAACTGGATCCCTTCCTGACACCTTACACTAACATTAACTCCATATGGATTAAATAGTTAATCATAAGAGCTAACACCATAAAAACCCTAGAAGAAAACCCAGGCAAAACCATTCAGGATGTAGGCATAGGCAAGGACTTCATGACCAAAACACCAAAAGCATTGGCAACAAAAGCCTGAATAGACAAATGGCATCTAATTAAACTCCAGAGCTTCTGTACAGCAAAAGAAACAATCATTAGAGTGAATCAGCAACCAACAGAATGGGAAAAAAAAATTTTGCAATCTACCCATCTGACAAAGGGCGAATATACAGAATCTATAAAGAACTAAAACAGATTTACAAGAAACAAACGAACAAACCCATTCAAAACTGGGTGAAGGACGTGAACAGACATTTTTCAGAAGAAGACATATCAGGCCAACAAACTTATGAAAAAATGTTCATCATCACTGGTCATTAGAGAAATGCAAATCAAAACCACATTGAGATACCATCTCATGCCAGTTAGAATGGCAATCTTTAAAAAACCAGGAGACAACATATGCTGGAGAGGATGTAGAGAAATAGGAACAGTTTTACATTGTTCATGGGAGTGTTAATTGGTTCAATCATTGTGGAAGACAGTGTGGTGATTCCTCAAGGACCTAGAAATATAAATTCCATTTGACACAGCAATACCATTACTGGGTATATATCCAAAGGATTATAAATCATTCTGTTGTAAAGACACATGCACACGTATGTTCACTGCAGCACTGTTTATAATAGCAAAGACCTGGAACCAAC